TATGTTTCGGAGTTATAGAGTCAAGAAAGAGTTGTAACCACAACTCAAGTAGCCTCCTCAACTGTAGTTGCCTTCAATTTTTTTTTTTTTTTTTGGCATAGCATTATTTATAGCATAACTGCTTTTTTTCTTCATGAAAATGAGGCAAAACTCATTTTTGTAAGCATTCTTAAATATTTATGCATTTAATTTTGAATCAAATATATAAGTGGTAATAAAAATATGTGATGATTTTGCGTAACAACAGCAAATAACTTGCTGAATCAAAGATTTTTTAGTAAACTTGTCATGATTTGCGTATTTAAAATATTAGCAGATTCATGAGTTTGCTGATTACTGTACATAGTGTAGGTTTGATTGTCTTTTATAAAACAAAAATTTTTTAAAATATTGTCTAACAACTTTCTAGAGCAGGTTTTTGCATTTTTTTCTTGAGTTTCTGAACAGTTACAATCTTGAAACTGCTTGTCTTACATATTTTAATCTTTAAAACCCTTAATGTATTCACCACTAGACTTGTGATCAACTTAAATATGTGTATACCTGTACTTGTAGTTTTAATAATTCTTTAATTTGCAATATTGCTTTTTTTTCTTCTTGTACTTCATCAAGCTTCTTTTTTTGGTTTTAAAGAAACTAGAAGGAACTTGTAAAACCAATAATTGATTAAATATGTTTTTTTCTCCCAATAAAACAGTCTTTTTGTTTTTTAAAGGTGTAGACAAAAAAATAAATAAATTTATTTACTAAACAATATTAATTATGCCACTAAACAAAAAAATAAATCTAAATACTAAGTAACCATTATTAAGCTTAAGAAATCAGAAATATTTTCTACAACTTCTCAATACTTAGAAATAAATAATGTAATAATGACTCTGTGTTTTTATGTTATTTTATTTACTCCCAGTTAACTTCTGACTTTTTAACCTCACTGTCATTGGTTGGTGTCACTGTAATTGTGTCGTATTATCGTAGCTTCACTTTATATAAAATAATTCATAAAAAATCCTGAAGCTCTTATATAATGCTTCTTGTGCATTGGAACCAATAGATTGATTCATTCTATCTACAACTTGCCAACCATGGATAATGGCATCAGGTTCTGTGGCACATGATACAAAGGATATACTTTTCAGCTGTTTTGTAGCTGTGTTCTGTATGTATAAAACAGTTTTTTTCATCTATTTGAGCCAGTCACTAAAAGGCAGAATAACCTCTGGCTTTCTAAAAAATAGTTTTATAATTTTTAAGGATTTTTTAAAATGTAACAAGTTTTTCTAAAACTTCTAAAGAGTCTTCTAATAAAATTTAATCAGATTTGCAAGTAACTTTTACTAACATCATGTCAAATGAAAATTTTTTAAATGATAGTTTTATATGCTTCTGAGTATTTTAAAGTATGTATTGTTTTAAAATTCTACACTTTCTAAACATTTTTGAAGTTCCATCCATCTAACCACAATATTTTAACTTTGCATCAATAAAAAAATTCTGATTGAATATATTTATTTTTTCCCTTGCAGTTCTTTCTAATTCTAGAAATAAAATATAAATTTTAGATAAAAAAAATGTATCAAACACATTTCAAATGATCCCTCATTTAAGAAAAGGGATCAATATTACAATATCTTGGAAACCGATTAACATTTTAAATAAAAAATTCAGATTTTAGATTACTGAGTCACAATATACTTACATTTAGTTACTGAGTGTTATTTAATTTTATCTACACTAAAAAAATACTCTAAGATAATTAAACAGGTCAGGATTAGAATCATTCTGATCAACCTGCTACTGGTAATATGAGATCCAGTACAACCTAGAGGAAGTTAACTTTAACTTAAAATACCTTGGCAGGCCTTGTGATGAATAAAAACTGCGTGACGCATAAGCACGCCGTGATTTTTGACGTCATTAAATTCTTTTTATTTGCTTTTCATATTTATCGACATTAACTGCACCAATTTACTTAATTACCGCAAAACTACTTGAAATCATTAATGTAGAAATGTTATTATTTAAAAATGTTTTGGAATGTTTTGTTTTTTAATATGTAAAAACATTTGTTTATTTTCTTGACGTTTGACACGTTTTGTCTATACTAAACGAATAAAAAACATTATAACTAATCATTTAAAAAAGATTATAAATGCTAATATTTGAATTTTTTTTCTTCTCAAATATGTAATTTAAAGTTTTTCAAATAATTATTTTTTCTTTTTAAAATGTCAGCGAGTAATAAACTGGAAATTTTAATATTGTTCGATTAAAAACTGTGCAATAGTTAATATTTTTACCAGCGATTTTATATAATAATTTTTTATTAATTTATTTTTATTTATTTTCATAAAGCGGTTGATAAGCAAAATCACTCGTATTACTAAAAAACTTTAACAAACGTTTTGAATAGATTTTTAATGTTTTACAAGGAATTTTATTTCTAGTAAAATAAAATAAAATAAAATGTTAGAATAAAAATCTTTACGCAAATAAAATATTTTTTATTTGCGCTTAACAATTTTTAAAATGTTTCCTCGAAATTACTCTTTAAATACATCAAACAGTTAATAAATATTTTTAAATCTATGGAATAATTTTAAAACCTAACAAACCCCCGTAAAATAATTATTTAAATTAAAAATCTAAAACTAAATGAAAAATATTTTTGTTCAATTTTATCCACAACTTTGCTATTGCTAAATAATTTTATTAAAATGTTAGCTTAAAAAGATTTAAACTTTTTTTTTAATCTGAATTTTTTCTACTTGTAAATAATGAGCATATTTAATTTTTTTGTAATTCAAACTTTTATATCAACTGCATGCGGTTTTTAAAATACTTTATTGAATGTTAAAATAATCGTAAATTACTTCATTAAAATTCCGCTCAAAAATATCTTTAAATATACTCAAAAAAAAAATTTTTTGCTCGACGTAAATAACCCTAGCTACACGCAAAATCGCTCTTGGACGACGTAAAATTCACATCGCCCGACGCTTTATCGCAAGGCCTGCCTTGCGTTGGGACTCTTGGTTTTGTAAAGACTAGAATTTATGTCTCAATGAAAACACTCATCCAAGGCAGATGTCAAGTATGTTGTAGAAAGCCTCCTAGAAAAAGACTTTAGGAAAAGTAGAAAACTTCTGTTTAACATCCTCTTACTCCTTCATTTAAAGACTGGCATAAATGCAAAACTGCATAATTGTAAAACATTGCTGTCTAACTAGAATGATCAACGCTGGGCCTTCTTGATTCTACTCACAGGTTTAATCTTGTGCCTCTTTGCTAGTGGCTAGGCAAGTTTTTCTGTTTCCTCCTAGTACAGTCTTAAAACTCATTTTAACGAATCTTGGGGAAAATTCGAATTTTAGAGAATTTTAACTTTTAATTAAATAAATCTTACCTTTTGCAAATTCATCATAATTACTTGCTCTTTGTAAGAATAATTTCAATTCAGCTGTTCATCTATGGGTTTTAGTGTTGATTAGCTTTTTCACTCAATCATCATTCTTTTTTTTTCTATTTGTTCGTTATTATTCTTTCTTATACCAACTTCACTCTTTATAGTGTTATTTTGGATCAAATTGACTCAGCTTTTATACATATATATATATATATATATATATATATATATATATATATATATATATATATATATATATATATATATATATATATATATATATATATAAATATATATAAATATATATAAATATATATATATATATATATATATATATATATATATATATATATATATATATATATATATATATATATATATATATATATATTCTTAAAATGACCTGGTTTTCTTAACATTTTTCTTAAAAAAATAAGAAATAAAAATGGAAAAAGTATGAAAATAAACATGTATGTTTTTTTGATGCTGAATTCAATAAATTTACTTGAAATGCTGAAATATTAAAGAAACATGCTTTACAGTTAATAAAACAAATAGTTTCTATAAATCAACTTTGGGGCTTAATATTTTAAAACACACCTGTCAAAAAATTTTTTTTTTGTTAATATTTTTAGTTACTTGTAATCTTACTAGGCACAAAAAATCCAACTGGAAAAACAACTAAAACATATGGAACTTTAATTTCAAAGATATATCAAATTTTCAATAAATTATTTAAATATTAAACTTAGTTTATAGACTCCTTATAAGAAAAAAACAAAACAATATATATATATCCACTATATCATCTGCTGAGGTGTGGCTTGTTGGTAAACCTACACAAACTCTTTCGACTGCTAGACTTCCTTCAAGAGAGGATATTCTTTGGAGGTTGCTCTTCCATCATATAGAAGAGAAACAAGGAGTGAAAAAAGTATTTGGGCAACAATTGAAGCAGTTCTTATTATATATTTTAGTTGTTACATTAGCATTAGCTAATGTAACAATGTTATTTTAAAGCATTTTTATTTTTTTAATTTCATCTTCTTTTGAGTTTGAGTCCCTGCCCTATTATAATAAGGTTATATCTCTTTTTCTTTTTTACAAATACTGACATGTTTGCTGATTGTCACTTGTTTAATCAACTAAAACTAAATCTTGCATGACTCATCACAAACGCACTCTTTTACTGTGACTGTTTCATGCTCAAAAACCTATTACTCATCAGGATTTTTTTCTGTGAAAAGAATGCTTTAGAATTCTCTCCTGCCTCCATGTTTTTCTGACACATATAACTTACAGTTTTTTAAGTCTTTTGTCCATCACTTTTTTGCTCTTCAGTTAACTTCTTTATATTTTGATAATTCCCAACTTGATTAATGGTTGCTTGCAGCCTTTTTGAGAGTGAAATTGTTAGGAAGAATAAATAGAAAAAAAGTAATAAAAATAATTAAACAATAATAATATAGTATTCATTTTTTTATTGTTCGTATTAATAATAATAGAAATTAACTTTAAAAATCAAAGTATAACAAAATGAAATTAAAAAAATAAAAATGCTTTAAAATAACATGTTTATTAAAAACTGTATTACCCATCCTCCAGAATCTGTAATCCATTTTACAAGTTTTTTTGCAACAAACATTTTAAAACAATCAAAGATTTTTTCCACTAATGGCAACTGATTGATAACTCTAATTGCTAGCCTTGCTGCTAAGTAAAAAAGTAAAGCAATTCGTTCCCAACTTATGCCATCTACAAGTAAACCACTAGCGATTTCTTCAAATATTATATTAAAATTTTCATATTTAACATCTATTTTAGATATTAAATGGCTAAGATAATGGTCTTTTTCTAATTTATCTGCAATACATCTTAAATGTTCCACTAACTTTCTATAAAAAAGAACATAACTATTTATTATATATATATATATATATATATATATATATATATATATATATATATATATATATATATATATATATATATATATATATATATATATATATATATATATACACATACATATACATATATATATATATATATATATATATATATATATGAATAAATATATATATATATATATATATATATATATATATATATATATATATATATATATATATATATATATATATATATATATATATATATATATATATATATATATATATACATACATATACATATATATATATATGAATAAATATATATATATATATATATATATATATATATATATATATATATATATATATATATATATATATACATATATATATATATATACATATATATATATGGGGGTGTACCCTCAATCTTTTGGTCGGTCGCCAGTAGGGAAAGTAACCAGTTTGTTAATTTTGCTCGTTCACTGATTTTTGAGTCGCCTGCCGCTATTTTATATAAAAACTTTTGCTTCAGCGGATTTCTTGCATATTTTAGTAATTTTTCATGATATGTCTAAGGGTAGAATAGAAATATCTTGCGTAAATAAAAGTAATGTTGTAAACTATTGATAACATTCACTTTTCTACTTTCAAAATACTTAAAAACCCTTCACTAGGGCCAGCACAAGTAGTTGTCATGCCATTACAACTTTTGACAACTTAAAAAAAAAGGTCCTCATTTTATAAAATTTGCTGACTGCCTAGTCGACATTTGCAGACTGGGCAGTTCCTTTAATTTATTTCTTAAAACAATCTTATACTTAACATAATCATTTGTTTGTTTATCACAATTTATTTATTTATTTTAATTTTAACATATTTAATGTAGTACTTTTAATAAAGATTATAAACAATTTATAGGTAGATTTTATCAGTTACTGATAAGATATTTGTAAACCAAAGTCATAAAAAGAATTATTTATATGTCAAGGTAATTCTGCATCAAATCACTCAAAATTTAGGAAATTTTGAACCATGAGTCCTCAAAATTTTTAAAAACTTCTTTGGCTGTTACATGTTTTAAAGGAAAGTTAACAAATCAAATTTCAGCTAAAAATGTTGAGCGGTTGAAAAGACACTGCAATTTTAACATTGACCTGGTTTCTTAAAATGACCTGGTTTTCTTAACATTTTTCTTAAAAAAATAAGAAATAAAAATGGAAAAAGTATGAAAATAAACATGTATGTTTTTTTGATGCTGAATTCAATAAATTTACTTGAAATGCTGAAATATTAAAGAAACATGCTTTACAGTTAATAAAACAAATAGTTTCTATAAATCAACTTTGGGGCTTAATATTTTAAAACACACCTGTCAAAAAATTTTTTTTTTGTTAATATTTTTAGTTACTTGTAATCTTACTAGGCACAAAAAATCCAACTGGAAAAACAACTAAAACATATGGAACTTTAATTTCAAAGATATATCAAATTTTCAATAAATTATTTAAACATTAAACTTAGTTTATAGACTTCTTATAAGAAAAAAACAAAACAATTTTGATATATTTAAGGAAGTCTTAACTATATGATAACTTAGCTATATAACATCCGAAAAAAACATACTTTTTTTTTCTTATAAAAACTAAGTGTGATATTGAAGTGCATTTGTTTTTAAAATTTTGACAACTATAGTTTGTAAAAGTTTATAAAAACTAGTTTATAAAAAGTTCAGTTATAGAACAACATTTATTGGTAAAATTTTATAAAATGTATATATGTAAATATATCTATAAAGAAAATTAACAATATCTATCAGTGCAAAAAATTATACAACAGGACTCTGAAAAAGTTTGAATTACTTCTATATTAAAAACTTTTTTAATGAAAATTAAGTAGGAAAGAAGAATTCTCTTTTTTTTAGGAAATACATTCATACTAAGTAATTTATCTAAAGATGTGTTCTATTGGCTTAATGACATCAGATGCATGCAAAGGCTAACAAGATGTTATTGAAACTTTAAGCAATGAAGAAAAAATAACTATATCATTACGCTGTAACATTGAAATATCAAACTTAACAATATTATGTGAAAGACATACTACAAAATATTTGAAAATGTATCCTATATGGTAGAAAGCATGTTGTGATCCATTCAATAAACATACAAAGAAAATCACAAATAAGTAGATGTAAAATTTAAATATTTTATTATCCAAAACATAAACAAAGTTTTCGACAATTGTGCAGATAAGCTTTATACAATTCAATTACTTTTAGAAAATCTTAGAATAGTCAAGATAAATGAGTCACAAGTCATGATGAGAAGTAGTTTAAATATTGCTCCTTGGAAGAAACTTTGCAAACGTTGAAAGCAAAAGATTGCCAGAAACGAAGATCTTAAAGAAGAGCAGCAAAGTCAGGGTGAACAAGGATTTTCTAATATCGTTATTCAAATCAAAAAGACAGGAGATCAATGAAGAAAATTTTAATATATCTCCTTTAAAATCTCTTTCAAAGTCATCAAAACATATACTCTCAGAAGGAAAGCAAAAAATTGCAGGCATCAACTAAATGGTAATTAATGTTATTAGAAAAACTGAAAGTCAAGTCAAGGTCCCCTTAAAACTATGTTATGAAATAAATAACATGAAAATGAAGGCTGAAAACCTTGCTCAAATTATGAGCTTTATAAAGGAAAAAATTCTATGTTCTGACAGAGGAATATTGTTCAACTTCTAACACTGGTACCCCCAAGTTGGTTGATATTAGAACTACAAAATAACTTTGCAGTTACAGAATACCAAGCAAAGATGGCTAGACAAATTTTTAGTTAAAATAAATTGTTAGCTATCTTTCCGTTGTATAAAGGTAAAGTGTTACAAAAAGAAATAGAAGATTCTGTTAAATTGTTTACTTCAGTAAACAATTTAACATTGTCTGTTAAATTGTTTACTTCAGTAATAATGAAGTGATTTATGCAGAACTATGCCTGGAAAAAAGAATATGTTAGCATTCAAAAAAACTTCCACAAACAAAACAAAAAACTCCTTTTGTGTAATTTAAAGGAATAATATTTATTATACAAAGAAAACAATCCAGAATTACAAATAATTTACTCAAAACTTGCTTCACTTAGACCAAAGTGATGCAATTTTCCAGGTGCAAGTGGTACACATTCTGTTGTGTTTGTTCTTATCACCAAAATGCCATATTGCTAGTAGATGCCTTAAAAAATGGACTAAAGAGGATTTATTTTTGAAAACTTTTTGCTCAGTAGAAAACAAAGAATGCATGCTTGCACAGTGTGATAATTGTCCTGATAAAGAACCCCTCACCAAATATTTGTATGACATTTTCGGAGAATACGAAGATGATTTTGAGATACACTACAAGCAATGGTAAACTACTGATTGTGCAACAATATTGAGTTTAACAGCAGATGTTCCGAAGTTTGTTAAATGATTAGTAACTTGTTTTAAAAAACTACAAGCTTATTCTTTTATTGCTCACTCTCAATCACAGTACTAACTAAAACAAATTATGGATCAATCAAACATTATCATTCTTGGTGATTTTGCTAAAACTTATGCTTTTGTAGTCTAAGATGAAATATAAAGCTACTATTGGAACACCCAACAATGTTCTTTACATCCATTAGTGATATACTATAAAGATGATAAAGGTGTGCTGAAACATATTTCTTACTGTTTTATATTAGACAACATTACACATGCTGTAACTTATGTGTACAAAATACTCCAACTAATCATACCAATATTAAAAACAAAATTTTCCAATCTGTCCAAATTATATTTATTCACTGATAGTTGCACAAGACAGTACAAAAATTGCATAAGCTTTTAAAATCTATGCTAACTAGAGAGCAAATTTGCCGGTAAAGTTGAATGGAACTTTATTGTCACTTCCCACGGAAAGTTAACATGCGATGAGATTGGCGATACTGTAAAAAGGTTAACAGCGTAAGAAAGTTTAAACCCACTATACAGAAACCAAATTCTCACATCAGAAGCTATGTATAATTTTGTATTGAGAAAATCAAGGTTGTTAACTTCATTTACATAAAGGAATTGGAAAAGCAAAAAGAAAGGTACACTGATGTAACAACTCTACCTGGTAGCTTTCATCAATTTATACATCTTGGAGGTGACAGGGTTAGGACAAAGAGGTGTAGTACAGACACTAATTATATAACAATCCACAATCTTCAAAAGAAGCAAGACATATTTCAACTTGATACTGTCACTTTAGGAGGTTATGTAGCTGTAATCTATGATGATAAGTGGTGGATTGGCATTATAACTGAAACCAAACTAGAAGAAGTTGATGCTAAAGTTAAGTTTTTTTACACAAAAGGTCCATCAATCTGTTTTAACTGGCTTAAAAGAGACGACTACTGTTTTATTTCCAACATCAACATATTGAAAAAGCTATCTGTTCCACAAGCTTGCTCTGTTTCCAGTAGAAACAGTAGAAGTGTCTGAAAATGCTGAAATAGAAGAAGTAAAATGGCAACAATATTGTTAACTATTACAAACACAGTCAAAATTGATCTTCAATACCTTTGAAAACCTTGTATATTTAAGTAACTTTTTAAATTACGATTATTTAAATTTCATTTTATTTAAAAATATTTTAAAAATATAAAATTCTCAGTTGTGGTTAAGTGCTTTTTTTTACAACTTATATTTAGGGTTCAGCGAGTTACTTACTGGTAGCGTTGCTGAACGGTAAATTACTGGTAACTTATCAGTAACTTAATTCTAGTTATCAACAACTCTTATTATTTTTTTTTATACTTACTAATTAAGTATTAAAAAATAAATAAAACCTACACAAGAGTTATTGATAATGTAAGAATTATTCTCACATTCTTGTTTAAATTATAACCTACCCAATGTTACCATAAATTACACTCAATTTACCCTAAGTTACACTCAAATTACCACAGTTACTGGTAACTTAAAATAACTGTTTT